CGCTTGACCTAGTTCTCGATTGATTCTTACTTGAGTTAACCCGCCGCCGGGTCACCCCTTTATATACAGGTGGATGTCCGACGGCTTACAGAATCCCGGCCGGCTCACACAAACGTGACCGGCTCGGTTTCTAACTAAGCTTGCTTTACAAAACAAGTTAAACATATGGCGGCTCATCCCTTTGGGCCTCAGGTCGCCTCTGGGTCTTGGGCCTCCAATAAGCCTGCTTCATGAACCGCCATCTTCATATCTCCTTGGACCTTATCGGGCTTCTTCATCTTTAAGCCGCCAGCGGCGTGACCCGGCCCCTCCTGAGCGGGTCATACCCAATAGTTATATCCCCAATACCCACCGTATGCTTTCTTCAAGAGAGAAGCCTCTAGTGAAACCTATGCCTCCCGGGTCTATTTTCCATCATATTATTATCAGATCTACAAAACTAAAAATCCAAAAATATCTTGCTGCAATTTATTTATATTTACTTTATTTTGTTATTTACTTATCTTTTATATCTATCTCTATTAGATCTCACTCTTGCAAGTGACCGTGAAAGGATTGACAACCCCTTTCTCGTGTTTTGTGCAAGTGTTTTTTAGTTTGTGTAGGTGCATATATTGGGGACTTGTTTTGTGCCTCCTACTAGATTGATACCTTGGTTCTTAACTGAGGGAAATACTTATCTCTACTTTGCGGCATCACCCTTTTCTTTTTCAGGGAAAAATCAACACAAGCTCAAGAAGTAGCAACGTTTGATACACACAAGGCATTCCTCCGGAGTCCGGGAGTTGCATGATCTCATGGTCGAAGGAACATGTATTTGACATTAAGAAAGCAGTAGCAATAAACTGAAAGATCATATGCTATGCTAACGGATGAGTCTAGTCCATCACATCATTCTCCTAACGACGTGATCCCTTTATCAAATGACAACTCATGTCTATGGTCAGGAAACCTTAACCATCTTTTGATCAACGAGCTAGTCTAGTAAAGGTTTACTAGGGACTTGATATATTTGTTTATATATTTACATATGTATTTAAGTTTCCGTTCAATACAATTATATATTGAATAACAAACCTTTATCATTATTAAAGAAATATAATAATAACCACTTTATTATTGCCCCTAGGGCATATTTCCAATAGGCAGGGACGCCGGAACTGGGCGACGGCGGCGACGCGGTGGAGCGGGCGAGGGCTTGCTGACGATAGGGATGGAAGATAATAGCCAATGTGCCATCGACTGGCGGGCCGACAAGAGGAGTAGGCGTGCGTCGCCCACGTCTGCTTTGTGTCCGTGCGACGCAAATAAGGCCTAAATTTGGGCCAGAAATAGGTCGGCAGGCAGACGATAAGCAGACGCTTGTCCGTCTGAGTCAACGCGTTGGGCCGACTTTTCTGCCCGCGACGATCCAAACACATACGCGCGGATGAAATGTGTGAGAGTGTTGGAGTTGCTCTTAGATGTCTAATTCATCAGCTAGGAGCCCGTTTAACCAAGCATCCCCCTTAATCAGTTGCAGATGTAGACAGGGGTCACATCGTTTTCCCCAAAAAGAAGAGCTGGACAGCAAGTTCACTCCAACTTGCATCAACAACATGGCAACCGCAAAAAAAAGTAAAAAAAATAACTCTACAGATACTTGACCCAGAAAATGAAATGGAACACATAAAAGGCGAGACCAAAAGAAACATGATAATGTGCACACAATCACAACGTTACCACTTAAAAAAAGAAAAGAAAACTATGTCCATGGCACATCGATTTGCAAAACCAGCTCCTCGGTGACGTTCAGCGTCGGGCGTTGTGATGCCCTTTCACTTGGCCCGGCTCCAGTCCTAGTGACGCAGCAGAGTTATCTACGGCTCTTTGTAATAACGTCGCGTTTTGGAAATACTCGCTCCGTTTCTAATAAAGTCCTTACGGACAAAATGAGTGAATCATACTTTAAACCACGTCTATATACATTTGCATGTGGCTTATATTAAAAAAAATTTAAAAAAGTTTATATTTAGAAACGGATGGATGGGGTACACGTCTAGAGAAAGTACCGGATTTTGGACGGAACTACATACGAATAAAACAAGTGAATTATACTCTAAACTACCTCTACATACATCCGTGTGTAGCTCATATTAATAAAATCTCTAAAAAAACTTATATTTATGGACGGACGAAAAGGAGTATACGTTTAGAGGAAGTAATGGGTTTTGGGCGGTAATCGGCGCGCCGAGGTAGACGACAGGCGAGTGGGGGAGATAAGGATGAGGGCAGCCGCACGTGCCCTGCGGCTCGACAGATGGACCCAACTAAAATTTAATGGAAGCATCCATGCCAACAAACAGCAGAGTGTGATAAAGCCACTCGTAGAGCGGAGGCGCCACAGAGCAGAGCAGAGCGGAGGAGCAGAAGCAAAGGCAAGAAGAGAGAGGAGGGAGGGAGGCGCCGGAGGGGAAGCACGACCGCAGAGAATTCAGATCAGAGCGAAGGTTTATATCCCTCTCCCCTCCCTGACGCGGACGTCGTCGGCCCCTTCCTCTCGTCTGATATTTCAGTGATCTAGACGCTCTTGTATTTCTTTACGGATACGGAGGGAGTAGTAGTAATTTTATATGCGCCGAGAGAGAAAGAGAGGAAAAAAGAGGCCATCTTCTCCGTCTGTTCCATGCGTATGCGCGTACAGTAGGTTCGCCCCGCCCTCTCCTTTTATACCCCTCCTCTGTTTCGCTGCGGCTTTGGGTGGGAGGACGAGAAGAGAGCAGCAGCAGCAGCAGGAAGAGAGGAGCGGGGCCAAGCAAATGCGCAGCGCTGGTGAGTCCTTCGGATCCGGGCGCTACTAGGGTTCCTCCTCCTCCTCCTCCTTCTCCTCGGTGTTGGGCTGGTTCTTGATTTCCGGCGGAGATGGCTCGGAGCAGTGCCAGGCAGCGGCCATGGACCGCAATTCTCCCTGCTCTTCTCGAACGGATCGTGGCTCGAAATTCTCGAGCAGCCCTTAGAACGTCGCCGCTCGTAAAAACAAGGGCCGATTGGTCCGCTCCGCCGCAGCGGGGTTTTAGACGGGGTGCAGTGCAGTTGTGGAGCCGGAAGCTCGATTTGGAGACGAACTGTTGAATTACGGGTGGGTGGGGGATCAGTTCTTGATCTGGCCGCTTCCTTCCATCTGACGGGCAATGGCGTGGCGTCATCCGAGTTCCTTCTGGGTTTCTTTTTCCCAGCGGGATAAGGGCGGAACGGGCCAAAGGAAGCGGCGCCTTTTGTCAGTCTGGCATGCAGAGCGGGTTTCACTGCAGCGTTCCTGCCTTTTTCTTCTCTTTTCTTTCACTGGTGTGCTTTTGTTGCCACTCCACAGCAAGAATGCTTTGGAATCTTTGAGCTGGTCTCGGCTCGGATGGTGTCCGCTAAACCTTGCAGCTGCAGCTTCCCTTGCCAGTTCTTCTTCCCCAATGCTGTTTACAGAGTTGGGTTAAGCTTAGCGCCAGTAGAAGCCAGCGTGTTTTCTTTTAATGACCTGCTTCCTCGTTTGGAACTATTAGGTGTTCTAACTTTTTTTTTCTGGATCGGGTGTATATAGACGCGTTTTACCTGTGTTTGTTCACTCATTTTAGTCCGTAGGTAGTCCATATTGAAATATCCAAAACATCTTATAACTCGGAACGGAGGTACTCCAGTATTTATGTTCTCTAGACGAATGTTACTGACTGTGTGATACTCTTGTGTGTAATGCTGAGATTACTCATGCTGCTATGCCTTTTCTTATTTCAGATTAATATCGTTGGAAGTTCAGTTTTGCTAGTTAGTTTGGGAACCTTGGGCCACGTGTATTATTAGTTCACAAGAGATCATTTGCATCTCAATTTTGGATTTGGCGTTTTGGCCTGATGTTCATGTGCAGCAGTATGTTTTACTCAACCGTGGGTTGAGAGCGAGTTCCAGCTATTAACGCGCAATGGTGGAAATCCCTTCTTGCAAAATTTACCGGGAATGCCAAAGTAGAATGATTTAAAGCAATGGTAGATCTATCATGTCATGCGTATTAGCAAATTCAACTGGATTTTCTGTCACATCATATTATACAGCAAATCTATGCTTCCTCAGGTTGACGTGAAAGGCGTTTATGTTCCTTTTTTTTAGGTGTTTTGATGTTGTGTGCAAACTCTTTTCTTTAAAACTATTTCCTTCTGGTCAAGCTCTACAAACACAGTAGTAGTTCTCTAACCATTTCCCCTGCAAGTTGGCAATTTGTCCTGTTATGCTATCTGAAAGTCCAAACATAGCTTGTAGAAGGATGCCATATTAAAAAATGAACATGTTATCTACTTGCTTTTCCAGTTTCCTCGATTGTCACTCTTCTGTGTTCTAGAAGGTAGCCCCATGTTGTAATATTCTACTGCAGGGTTATTTTAGACATTTGAGGTTATGCATGATATTTCTAATTCTATAGTCAGTTAACATAAAAGTGACAAAATAGCCTTGCTAATGCATGTTTTAATATTGGTTGATGGAGGTTATCTTTCACTGCCAATTGTCAATTGTGACATCCCAGTTAATAAGGAAAGCGCTGCTATGATGGTGATATGCACTATATAGGATAACAGGGTGTATGGGATTAGGTGATGATATTGTATAGGATTGATCACGTGCCTCTGTTCACCATTTTGGCACCTTTCTGGCTGAAGCTGTTAGAGATTGTCTCTGTTTTTCAACATGAAACTATTAGGAACTTAAGAACTGTTTCCATGATTGAACTTTGAAGTTTTCTTAAGTTCTGATGTTCTGTACATGATATTTTGCAGGATAGATTTTATTTTGCTTTTCAAGATTTTGGTGCCTTGCTGAAAGCTAGATTATGTCACTATGTTGCAGTTTTCTTAAATTCTGATGTTCTGTGCACGAGTTGGATCACTACTGCTGGACCTCCTTGTTGATAATATATTGATGCTTTTTGTGCAGGATTATTTGGTGTAGTAATAACTCGTTAGAGTTCTAGGCTGAAGCAAACAATGGAGAGGGAAATTGCTGCCTCATATGAGCCAAAACTGAACAGTGAAATAAGAATTTTTGAGAGTTCAGATGAGATATTAACAGATCTAGCTGAGTATATCTCCCAAGTTTCAGAAATCTCTGTTAAAGAAAGGGGATACTTCGCTATTGCCCTATCTGGAGGGCCCCTTGTCAGTTTTTTGAGGTAATGACTTTTCCTATTCTTTGTTAGCTAATATGCTATATTTGTTTCTGCGCAAGAAATTTCATCCAGTTCGGATTATTGCATCTGAAGTTTTTTTTTAATTTATGAAAAGCAAACTTTGTGAAGCGCCATACATCAAGACCCTGGATTGGTCTAAATGGTACATATTCTGGTCTGACGAACGTGCTGTAGCAAAGAACCATGCAGACAGTAACTATAAGTTAACAAAAGAAGGATTTCTATCAAAGGTATGTGGACTTTAGGAGAAATTTTGCTGTATAACCTAGAGCATATATTAGTTTCTGGATGTTTGTTGCCTGAGTTTCATTTTACATTGTGCTTATGAGATGATATTTATACCTTGCATGAGGTCCATCATACATAGTACTTTTCTTCAGTATATCAAGTCAAATAGCCAATAGCAGTTCCCAGTTGGGTCATTCAGGGTTTTCCTTTTCATTTTCATTTTCTGTACTGCACATGGTGTTAGGTTACAATTTGTGTATCAGCTATGAGGGAAAAGAGCTGAAGTGGGTATATTTGAAATTGTTACACTATAGATATATCATTATTGGTGTCCACTGTTAGTAGGTTATCCTGCCTGTCAATCCAATTGATTGTACGATGGACCTGTGACTTCGTACTATTATTGTTCGCCGAATGTTCTGAGTATCTGGTGCTTGATAAATGTCCAACTTGTTGGACTTTTGAGAGTTAATTTGAGTAGTCAAAAGTGTAAGTGTTCACAAGAAGAATTCAGTAGTAAGGACCAACCGATGGGCTACAATAATATATTAATAATCCAATATTTCATGTTCTCTGTTACAATTAAAAAAAAAGTTGAAAGAAAGACCAGGTTTAGAGTTGGAAAATATAACGCGCCTTGGCTCAGAGTTGTATTGCAGTCTCATGTCTTTTATCTCATTTGGCATATAGTACATTTTACTTGCCTGAATACTGTTCGTTGTGCTTTCGTACTGGTATTTTAACATGGTGAAAGACACAAATATGCAAATATTATTATTATGTAAGTTAAGAATATCACCTTTCTGTAGATTCTGCATATTAGATACTGGTGGTTGTTCTGGTAGCTTGTGAGTCAGGTAGGCCATTTTGCTTTACCATTTCCTGTTAGTCTGCTATGTTCAGATTGTTCGGTGTCATTTGGCAACCATGGGAACCAGATTAAGACTTCCTAACAGCTACTTCAGTAGTTCCAACTTCCAACTACTCCTGCAACCCCCACCACCAACCACACCCTTCCCTATCTTCTCCAGTCTTTATTGTCGGACTAAGGAGCTTATCCAAATGAGTACTCTTGATTGAAACATGATGATTGCCTCTGGCACACCTGTCTTAAGTTGCACCAACCATATGATTTATGTAGTTGAAGGAGTTTGTTTTAAGGCAAAGTCTGGATACCATTTTCCCCTGCATGCCACTGCCCTTGCCATTTCATGTTACATGAGTAGATTCCATGATTTCACTTTATTTGGTTTATTATTATCCTGCACCAACGAGAAAAAATCGCTTGTTTTCACCAAGTTAACCATCTGTTGTGTCTAAATTTTTTCTAGGTACCTATTATGAGTGGCCATGTCTACTCCATAAACGACAGCGCCACGGTGGAGGACGCGGCGACGGACTACGAATTTGTCATCAGGCAGCTGGTGAAGATCCGCACTATAGGGGTCTCGGAGAGCACCGACTGCCCCAAGTTCGATCTCATCCTCCTCAGCATGGGCTCTGACGGCCACGTGGCGTCATTGTTCCCTAGCCACCAAGCCCTGGAAGTGAAGGACGACTGGGTGACCTACATCACGGACTCCCCGCAGCCTCCGCCCGAGAGAATCACCTTCACTCTCCCTGTGATAAACTCGGCGTCAAACATCGCGATCCTGGCGATGGGCGTCGACAAGGCGAACGCGGTGCATTCGGCCGTCTCTGACGGCGGCGACGGCCCAGACGCCCCTGCATCCCTGCCGGCCAGGATGGTCCAGCCAACGGACGGGAAGCTGGTGTGGTTCCTGGACAAGGAGGCCGCCTCATCGCTCGAGGCGCTGTCCGACGACGCCTACCAGCAGCAGCGTCATGAGTGCTAGCTTAGTGAGAGCAAAGCGTAGATTCCTTTGCTGTGTAAAATGAAGTTGTGTAAGTACTTAGGTGGGTGGATCGTATGATGGAACAATGTTTGCTTGGTTCAACGCCTTTAGTCCTCTTCGTGTTGGTCCGACGGGTGGTTCGTTCCGGGAAACCGGAAGCGCCGTCGGTCTTGGCAGACGACGGAGATGGTTTTGTTGTGCGGCGTTGATGTTTATGCGGGCGTTGTGGCCTCAGAGTTGAGAACATTAAGACATGAATTGTGGCCAGTTTTTTATGGTGTTGTGAACTCCGTTCTGTCTAGCTAAGATCAGATTATTTTGCCGGCATGTGTTTTCTTGCGCGTAGCTGATCCTTGTCTGTTGTTTGAAGCGCTGCCTGGGACCCAGAGCTATAGATTCGTCCGGTTTTTACCCGATGTGGGTTCAGTGTTTTTCTTCCCTGATATTTCTTGTGATTTCTTGTGTTTGCCAGATGGAATTTGGTTTGACGTAATTTTGCTGAATTGCTGCCCAAAAGGTTCTGAAATTTCATTCTTGAAATAGGTGGCTGTACAAGCATGTGCATCGCCATTATCCGCACCGTTTTTTGGCCACTTTGCACACTTGTCCCATGTCAGCCTGGTTGAGATAATACAGGCAAAAAACCAACATCGACATGTTGATTGGTTGCCTGCATACTCTTAAACACTTTGATGCAGCTATTTTTGTAGCCCGTCACTTGTCCATCGCATACTTTCCATAAACTGTAAACCCTCGGAACTCTCCCTCGTAACACCATATACCACTTGTCCTAATATGGCAGAAGAGCAAACAATTCAAGCAGCAAGCAATGGAGCACACTAGACATGAAATATAAGTAAGCATGCATGATCATACAGCACAACAAGTTCTGCTTGAATTGTTTGCTCTTCTGCCATATTAGGACAAGTGGTATGTGGTGTTCCGAGGGTTTACAGTTTATGGGAAGCATGCGATGAACAAGTGGCGGGCTACAAAAATAGCTGCATCCGAGTGTTTAAGAGTATGCAGACAACCAATCAACATGCAGATGTTATTTTTCTATCTGTATTATCTCAATCAGGCTAACATGGGACAAGTATGCAAAATGGCAAAAAAAAAAAAACTATGCAGATAGTGGCAATGCACATGCTTGTACAACCACCTATTTCAAGAATTTTCATAACCTTTTGGGCAGCAATTCACCAAAAATACATGGAACCAAATTCCATCTGACAAACACAAGAAATCACGAGAAATGTCACGGCAGAAAAACACAGAACCCACATCAAGTAAAACCAGACGAATCTATAGCCCTGGTTCTAGGTGGTGCTCCAAACAACGCAAAGGGATCGGCCACATACAAAGAAAAACATGCCTGCAGAAGAATCTAATATTTGCCAGATAGAATAGAGTTCACAATACCATAAAAACTGGCCACAATTCAGGTCTCAATGTTCTCGTCTCCGAGGCCACGACTCGCGCATAAACATCAATGCCGAACAAAACCATCTACGTCGTCCGCCAAAACTGACGGCCCTTCCGATTTCATGGAACGAACCATGCGTCGGACTATCACGGAGAGGACTAAAGGCGTCGAACCAAGCAAACCTTCTCCCATCATATGATCCACCCACCTAAGTACCTACACGCCTTCATTTTCCACAGCAAAGGAATCTCCGCTTTGTTCTCAGTTAGCTACTCCCTCCGTTCCAAATTACCCGTCTCAGAAATGAATGTATCCAGAGCTAAAATACATCTAGATACATCCATATCTGCGACAAGTAATTCGGAACGAAGGGAGTAGTACTCACGATGTTGTTGCTCGTAGGCATCGTTAGACAGCGCCTCGAGTGATGAGGCAGCCGCCTTGTGCAGAAATCACACCGGCTTCTCGTGCGTTGGCTGGACCGTCCTGGCAGGCAGGGGCACGGGGGCGTCTGGACCGTCGCTGCTGTCAGACACGGCCAAATGCACGGCGTTTGCCTTGCCGACGCCCGTCGCTTGGATCGCTATGTTTGATGTCGAGTTTGTTACAGGGAGGGTGAAGGTGATTCTCTCGGGTGGAGGCTACGGGGAGTCTGTGATGTAGGTGACCCAGTCGTCCTTCAGCTCCATGGCTTCGTGGTTAGGGAACAATGAGTCCACATGTCCGTCGGAGCCCGTGCTAAGGAGGACGAGATCAAACTTGGGGTAGTCGGTGCTATCTGAGACTCCTACGGTGCGGATCTTGACCAGATGCTTGATGACAAATTCGTAATCCGTCGCTGCGTCCTCCACCGTGGCGCTGTTCCCCGGCCCACACGGAGGCGCCACACAATGCATGCACACGGCGAGGCGATGGCGTGGCCACTGCGTCACGCGGCAGCCCTCGGCCCGATGATGCTCCTAGCGCGACCACGACTATCGGCCTCCGAATAAATTAAGGCGGCGCCACGACAGGCACAAAGGCGGGGTTGCAGCTCCTCATCTCCCGGCCCTGGCGCGGCAACCCCGACGCGCGACGCATCCCGGCGGCGGCCAATGGCGGCTGCCTCCACACGCGGGAAAGGAAACAACGTCGACAAAACGGCGGATCAACAAGATGAGGAAGACACGCAACCGCTGCGCCCGCCGAAGTTGTCTCACCATGCTCCTAATGCTTTGAACCGCTGCGAAACAAGCAACACCCTCAGGAGGGGGAAGCGATAGCGACATTGTCGCTGCCCGGGCAAGTCCCGGGGTTTCCCCCGATACGCCGAGGGAGTTGGGTGGGCGTAAAAACCGACGCCCTTCAGGAAGGGATGATGGCGCCTGAACACGTCCCCGCGTCGGTGTCGAACCTCACACGGATTTCTCCCGACTCTCACCCCACCCTCAGACGTTTCGAAGCCCTCCCTCCCACACACACCATCAACCAGCATGCGCCACCATGGCCTTACTACCAGAAACTTGACTTTTCCTGTGAGTGGCTTAATTTTCCTGTGAGGCCCGAAGCTCCCCACAGGAATTCGAATATTCCTGGCGGGCAAAATTTGACCCTCACGAGAATAACCTATTTTACTGTAGGTACTTCCATGCTTCCTCTCAGGAAAATATGCTTTCCTGTGAGTTGTACAGCCCACGGGAAAATGTTTTAGGCCCAGCCCGCCATTACACAACAGCGAAATGCCCACTTCTCCTCTCCTCGTCTCGTCTCTCTACCTCCATGGCCGCCGCCTCCACCCCAGCCGCACTCCTCCATCTCCCTGGCCAGATGGACCCGCCGCCCTCCTCCACAAATAACTCGTTCTAGCGCCGCCCGCCTCCGACCTCCACTACCGCCCGTATCTCATCTCGTCCACATGCGTCCGCCACGCCCACCCGTCTCCCGTGTCCCGTCCTGACATCCTCTACCGCCGTTCTGCCTTCACTAGCGTCCGCCGCCGCATCCCACCTCCCTCGGCTCACACCCTCCACCGCACTCTAATAGGGTCGTCCGCTACGCGTTGCCGGCGCCTCGTGCTTCCTACTGCAGATCTGGGGAGTCTCTGGTCGCAAATCCAGCAAGCCGCCGCCTCCTCTTCCGATGTGACCTCCTCCTCCTTTTCTCCAAGACCGTGGTAAGTCTCAACTAGGATCTTGAGTTGTTCACCCACGCAAAAAAAAAAAGATTCTGAAGTTGTTCATACAAATTATGTATAAGAATAATGGTCTCGGGACAACAGGATCTCGATTTTCTTTTTTCTTGGTTATAAGCGACCGAAAGATTTTGCCATATGAGTGACAAATAAGCGCCATTTGCATTTGTTTGTAGTGTGTTGATTTATTCAGTTTTCATTTTCAATAAAGAGCTTTCTTCTTTCTCCTATCTAGAAAATTTTAGGAGCTACTTTTAGGTGTGCTATTAGCACTTCCATTTGTTGATGTCATTGAAAAACTGGAAAATGTTCTTCTCCATATAATTTGTTCCGTTACTTACTATGTGCTTTCAGGAACTCTCTGAGAATTAAGAAACTCTCTTGGTCGCTCGGAACTCTGCACCTCTTCTCTACCGTACAGCTTCTCCATAGTGAGAGAAACCTTAAGATCCAAGTGAAGAAAAGAAAGGTACATGCTTTCTGAACTGATTTCTCGCATACAAATGTCAGTGCTAGTGTTTATATTGGCTTGATAGTGTATTGTATTTGACCCAGGCTTATGCAACAACATGTAGCTTGGTCACTTGCTTTTTCTGTGTTCTTTCTCCTATTGCATCAATGAATAGCAGGCAATTTTTCTCGGTTCACTGGTGATGAGGTCTGGATATTTTCTCAATGTTGGGTATGTGCATTTGATCATGACTTCATGATTGAATTACAGTTTAATGTCCTGTTCTATGTTAATCCTATTATGTTTACAGTCAGGAGTTATTTGTATATACTATTGGCACATCGGATCTAATATCCAGACATAATCATGCAGGATGACCGCCTCACTTCACTACACTAGATTCCATTGCAAAGCTGATGGTAACTCAATTGGTAATGGTATCATATCCCAAAGTACCAAATGTTCATGGTAATGATAAATATGCTTTACTATAATCCATGCGAAATTCAAATAAATATACTTTGCTGTATAATCCATGATAAAATGCATTCTTGGCAGATGCTTTTTGAGGATCTCACTACAATTTATCTTTAGTGGCTGCAACATGCTTTCACTTATAACTATCTGTTTGCACTTGTAGGAATATACTTTGGACCTGAGAAGCAGTGGCGGAGCTACGTTGTAGCTTACAGGGGCCATGGCACCCCCAGCCTTGACAAAGAATAGGAAGGAAATTTTTTAAGGGATGCTTGGATTAGAAAAAGTATACACTTTGGCCCCCCCAAACATGTAGTATTTCTGTTTGGCCCCCCCTGAAGATCCTGCCTAGCTCCGTCAGTGCTGAGAAGGCCACCATAATAAACACATATGCTGTGATGAAATCTGGTATGAAAGACCTCGACGAAAGTGGCAATAATGGTGCAATCAGTAGCCAGAAAGCACAAAAGCGCCTT